GAATACCAACTAATTGAAACAGTTGTTGTAACCACTGGAATACCTACTGAAGCTATTATTGCAACTTCAATCATAAGTCAACATCTAATAACGATAAGATTTTGCTTCTGGTTTCAATTGATTAATCCTGGCTACAATGAGATGAGTTGGTTACTCATTGACACCCTTTGAATGCTTGAATAAATCAAGCTATTCATATARTACCCAAGGTCTTTATCTCAGACTATGGGGGGGACCAGGAAACCAAAAGCTATTAGATATAGAAATAAAATACGGGATAAATTTAAGTTGCTTCTCCTAAAATTCGAAGGTGTCTCCAGTTTGTGGACCATACATGCTCCCATACTTACAGGTAATTTTATTTTCAAACTAACAAATGGTCATATAGTATTAATGCCATAGATTTTGTCTTACTGAAACACTAGACTACATTTACACAATGATAAGAATATAATGAAAAAATGTGAAATGTGTCTGTCTGATTATGTAATGTAATACAACTCTCTCCTAAGCGACCACCTCGGAATCAGGTAAAAGTGGTCGCTTACGAGAGATGGTCGCTTACGAGAACGTTAGCACAGGAAACCCAAACAATGATAATCACAACACAGGAGGCCCAAATAGTTCTAAACACGTTCGTATTTAGAGAATAAAAACTTTGAACAATTATACTGTTACCATGCCATTCCTCAAATTCTTATTATTTATTTATTTATTTAGTAAATCAAGAGAYATAGCTMTCCGGCCATCCCTTCTTAAGAATATTAGTCAAAGTGTTCTTTGTTATCAACCCCATGATTTCCTGGGTTTCAGTCTTAGTGTTACTTAGTAACAAATTCTTGAAATTGACTGATTTTATTGTCCTAAKTCTATTATTTTCTATGTGATAACTAACACTATGATGTATTTGATGCTATATTCTGGACATATGGATATTTGTCCTCAAACGCGACCCATCCCATTATATAGTATGCTTTTACGGTTTGTACTCTATTAAAGTAACCGGAAATGTAATTTGTGTAAGCTTTGTAAGTAAATTAAACACACGCCTTTATTGCGTCAGTCGAAGGTGGTCTTTTACGGGAGAGGAAAAACAATGACAAATTCTACAATTTCAATCCCAAAAGTGGTCGCGGTCGCCTACAAGAGTGGTCGCCTACGAGAGAGTTTTTTAAGTATAGTTTACAACATGAGCGGCCGTGTTGTATGGGAAACAAAACGGGAAATTTAAAAGGTGGTCGCTAACAGGAGATGGTCGCTTACGAGAGTGGTCGTTCAAAGAGAGTTAACTGTACCTGTGAAGCCTTTACTTTACTTACTAGGTGCAATCCCTCAATAATAGCAACAATTTCAGGTTGAAATAAAAAGAGACCTTAATACAGATTTACTGTAATATATACATAGAAATTAAATAAAGAAATTCATTGTATCCAATAGTATATTAAACCATTTTAACGTGAATTGATATGCTCACATGGTAGCGGAAATTAATGCTCAAGTTTTGGTTAGTTAGTTAGTTAGGAAAGTTAGTTAGGAAACGTGAGGAGCCAAGTAAAACTTTTATTGTTGATTAACATCAACAAAGTACCATTGACGGGAAACATATTTTTCCCTAACGTTTTAACAGGTTCAGGGCAGTAAGGAAAACATTTGTCTTCGTTCATCTTTTGATCAAATGCCATTTTTCGTGTTTTCCTGTTTCTTTGTGGCATTCTCACTTCTCCTTCTTCCGACCATAATCGTTAAAACAATGCAATGTTCCCGCGGAAGGTGAAAGCGAATTTTAAACTTAAAAGTTTTTTCTCTGGCGATATTCGATACACTGATTAGGGGTATTTTTTTACGTTTTGTGTTCAGAGGGGTAAAGAAATCTGAAAAGTTAGTTTCGAAGAAAATAAGGTTGTCAGAAATGAATGTGCTAATATAATTTTTGACATTTTTGTTTGTTGGTGTGCGTGTGCATGTGTAGTATATAAAATTTGCCGGACGCAGCTCATATCCCACTTTAATTCCTACCAGTAAACAGTCCTAAAGAGTACTTTATATGCTAAAGAGAAAAAAGATGTCAAGAATTACTTATGTCTGATTCTAACAACTGCTGTGTGGAATTATAACGCCACCAACTGCTATTTGTAATCGTCTTCACAGGTGAGGGCAATAGATATCGAAATTGTCATTTTTCACAGATCAAGTTGTTCAAAATCCGATTATCGTCCATTCAAGGTTAACTCCATCGGTTTTTATTATACTTAACCCAGGATTATCGTTAATCGAGATTTGAACAACTTAGGCCAGGTATGGATGGTTTAGTAACTGAAAACAAAATTCTCATATGCCAAGCAAAAGAGGCGCTGTTTTTTTTTTGACGTTTTTGTCATGACTTCTTTGTATCACTGTGTAAAATGTGTCAGCTGTTCTGTGGTTTGGCAATATTTTCCAGGTAATCTGGATCGCGCTGGATATTAGGAAAAGATCATAAAGATAAGARATAAAAAAGACAAAAGTTTTCACTGACATATTTCTTTTCACCAAATTAAATTCGGATCTTTATTCATCATAACAAAGATGATGTCAATGAGTACTCTTCTAATAAAAATGAATATGCATATTGTATAAATCTAAAAATAATAAATGGAGTGAATCATTCCCGGGACACTTTTCTTTGTTTTCAGATTGTGTGATATACGTTAGAGATGAACATTATTATTAAAATTATTATTGTAATATGATTTTAAAATACAATTGTCAGTAATAAAGTGTTTTGTAAGTTACACACCCCTTGTGGCTTTTTTACAATGTATTGTACTTTAATTGACAGTTCCGACCCAAAACCATATGTTAATTGCATTTCCACTTAATCCGTTGATCGATCCCCGGTTAGATCTGTTTAACACAAGATATGCTGACAGACATGTCAAGCTTTTTAGTTTGAGATAACATTACCTGGATGAGATGTTCGTCTTCCAACAAAAATTTCCACCGAAACTTATTTTTTTCTATCAGGTGCTTCAGAGCAGCTTTCCGTCTGTGGTAAGAAACCATACATAGACATTTTCTGTAATATTATTGTTGTTAAACTGAATGCAAGTAGTTAGTTGGGGGTATTGGCAAATTGTAACTGCAAATAAATCATGCTAATAAGGTCTTGATTAAAAAAAAGGGCTTGACTTTGGTGTTCATTGTTTAATTCGGCTATCAAAAGGGCGATCGATCCTTAAGCTTCAGACAGGGTATGCTTCTAAGAAACTCCAAACGATTAGAAATAGTAAAGTTGATGGTATTAAGTTTTTGACAAATAAAAAAGCCTAATATACTATCTGCAAGTCTTGCTCTCTAGATATTTCTTTTGGATTACTGCATGGAAATATATTTCTCAAGTGGGATACAGGACGGTCACACTTTTCGTAAAAATGTGAAATTTAGTGATATAAGAATTWTATCCCTTATCTTTATCCTTACTTTGACAGAATCCGACATTATCGGACAACAGCCCGGAACTGGTAAAGTTTTATAAAAATGATATGAGGTGTGCGGCCGGCTGCAATAGTCTAGACAACGGAGACAATCCATTTAGCAAATATTAAAACAGGGACGTCCCTGATTAAAATCAATCCGCCATTTTTATCGGATCGTTAATCCACTCTCACTGGAAATAATCGCGCGCTTTAAAGGTTGTAAATTTGATGTAAATATGATGTAAGTGTCCAAAATTCTTTAAATTTGAAGTAAATGATTTCCATTAAATTTATAGCATTTTGGACACTTACATCATATTTACATCAAATTTACAACCTTTAAAGCGCGCGATTTTTTCCAGTGTCTGTGTCATGAACAGGCTCCTCATCTCTATTATCGACATTTAGCTGGTTGGCTTCGAGCCGCGTCGTTTGTTTAATTCCTAGCACACTATTGAATTTTTACTAAACAGTACAATTTGTTTTTGACATCTTTATCTGAATACTGCATTTTGTATATTATATATATTTGTTACAGTAGGGGTTATGGCCGGTCGCGTCGTGACACATGACGTCCAGTGATGACTTCCACCACAGAACTTGCATCTCCCTGAAAACAATATAAGTTAATTGCATCATTTTCTCAGGGCGACAAACTAAAGCTAAATCAACTAAATTATGATTTTTCCCTGCTTTTCACTTTGTTTTTTTAAAACAACTATATATACCGATTTATRGGTTCTTACTTTGTGGACCAAGGCGTTYACGCAAATCCACATTTTTGCGCTTTTCCAGTCTTTGCTGTCGTCTTCTCTTGTTTCGTTCCCTTAGCTTTGCCCTTCTTCTTTCTTCCAAAGCTGTTAACCTCTGAACTTCCATGCTTAGTCTCYTCTCCTCAATTCCTCTTCTTTCTCTCTCTATTTCTTCCCTTTCGATGCTTTTCACTTCTGCTCTTTCTGCTCTTTCTTCTCTATCAATCMTCTCTGATCTTGCATCATCCCTTCTATCCCTTCTCTCTCTTGCTCTTCTCTCTCTTGCTCTTTCTCTTTCCTTCCTATCTCCTCGTTGTCTTCTACTTTCATCATCAAATTGTCGATCTACAAAGAAATAGAAATACTCAAAGAAATACTCAAAGTCCGGAATCCAAGAGCTGTCACTTCTCAAGTCGTCTTTCATTTTTAGGAAAATATACCTTATTTGAAGAGTTTTGTGCTAGTTTACTGACTTCAAGCTGACACGATGCAATTTTGTCGCACGCGACTTGAAAGATGTTGAAATGTATGTATACATCATCCCTGCGACTTAGGATCAAAAGCTTGATAAAAGGTCGCATGTGTCCAACCGTAGGCCCATTTAAAATGATACGGTTCTGTCTCATGTAAAGTCGTCGCACGAGACAAGTCATTGTGTAACGTAGGAGTTCGGGTGCGGGCCGGCAAATTGCTACAGTAGCCTTAGTATAAACAAAAATAGTTTTTGTTTTTAATGATCAAAATTACCTACATGATTTAACTTACCAATTTCCATTGATACTACGGACATCCTCCTCACTGGGCTTCAAAAATACTCAAGATTTTGTATCTAAAATGATATAAAACAACAATTACAAACTGAGTTAGGCCTAAGTGAAACGTCGAACTTCATAAGCGCTGATTACAACTACGCTGATTACAGTGCAGCTCTACGCTGATTAGTGAAGTACTTTTGATTATTAATAAACTTCAAGGAAATACCAGACTGAATCTCTAGAACAAATATCTTGCAATCTCATGCGAAAATAAAGTTGGCCTATTTCTGTATTATTAATTATTAATTATTATTAATTAGTAATTTACAGAACTGAAAAATCGCGTTATAAACAGAAGGGGAAGAGAGTATAACTGATTGCAAAATCTCGCATGAAGTTACATTTTTCTAATCAAAGTTTTAACTTTTAAGTTCCCAAAACCGGTTCTACTTCTCTGACCTATAAATCTCTAGTTGTAAAGGAGACGATCGCGCAACTTTCAACAGATTTTCTTCGCAATACATTTTGAAGAAGAAAAAAAAACATCTGTACACCTAAAAGATCTCCTGCATTCTAAAGGTTTAAACGGCCTGCCGTACTTACCTATCTGTACGAAAAAACTTCGGAATGTCACTATGCCTCAACTCGGTATGTAATAACACGTAAATCTGCTGGCGCTGATAAGGGGCGAACGTTTGTTAGGGGCGTGGGGGCAATCACTGGGGATATCTCCTTCCCCTGCATTACAGTTAATGAGTGAACCTGATCCAAATCCTAATCTATCAGCTCTAAAAAACAGCAGAGACGATGAGACAGCTCCTTTGCCTTTAGACACTTTAGACATTTCAACTGTTGGTGGCACTTTCTGTGCTTGGTGTTGACAAGGTGTGAAGTCTTTAGTCTAGGAATATCATTAAACAAAGCGTTATAATACCCTATTAGTCTAGTCTGGCAGTTTCCATAACTGTCATCATCCAAGAATGGGTGTTCTGTTCTTGTTTCAGGGTCTGAATGGGGTTAACTGACTAGCGACAAATGGACAAAATAACAACTTATCAAATTTGAACAAAATTTATTGACTACCGACAAAAATCATATCTACTGACTGGCGACATTTTACTTAAAAATTMTATTTTTAGGCAATATTCATCAAAGATATTAGCTTCTTGACAACAAGTTTTCTTTTGTATTTTTCAAGCAACTACATTCGTTCTCAATGTTGGCAGTCAGTTAAAATTTCAAGCAGTTGTCGGTAGTCAAGTTATTTAAAAAAAGTTGATAAACGTTAAGTCGGAATGCATCTAATATAAAACGGTGCGTTATATCAACAGAATGCTTTCTAAAATACGAACAGTTGAATCCTTGAGTTTTGATTGGTCAATCACGTATATGAGCTGGCCCACTCCAACTCATTTATCATGGCAAAACAATTTCTAGGCTCTTAGCACAGAAAACTAAATCAAGCAGCCAATGGCAGCATAACTCGGAGATTGATACAGAACGATACATGTACGATGAATCAAATTGTAATTTTACTTTAACAATTAGAATTTTAAGTAAACGATTTATGAAATTTTTTCGTTAAAATCCTATTTAACTTCGGCTGTGTTGATAAGCACGGCGAGTGACGGCGAAATAAATCCCGGTCTTAGCCATACTTGTACAAACTTTGCCATCGTGGCCCAGTGGTTAAAACATGGGCGTACTGATCAAGAGGTCACGGTTCGACCAGATGTATTTTTCTTTTTTTTTTGTTGTTGTTCTTTATTATTATTTATTATTCTTTTCTGTTAACATGAGATAGGGTGTCCCTAGGGGTAGGGCTAACTCTTTTGTTTTCTTTTCCTTGGAGGATTTAAAACAAAGGATCTTGCCCCTAGGGGAACCCATCAGAAATTCAAATACAACAGAAGGAAACAAACATTAATTTAATAGAAGTTTAACCGTGAATTGATGAAGGTCACGAGTCCTTTCGCTAGAGTGTAAGGAGAAGCACTGATCCCGGGGATCAATCGAATTTAACAAGAGTAAAGGTCAAGTTTAACAAACTGTGGTCAAAGAGATATTTTTCCAAAGGCAGTTTTTGCATTGTTTATTGCAAGTCCAAACTTCCCCTTCCCAGTCCAATGTCCCATCTTTGTTATTATGATTATTATTGTTGTCTATATATTATCCAGACCTTGTATGTCGGCATCCTCAGATACGTATTTATCTATATGCCTGTGCTAATTATATTTCCTATTTAAGAGGCCGGTTAGCCCAAAGTATTTTAGGATTGAAAGTTTCCAGGTGACATAAATCCAGAACATTGGACCACACCGGGACCTGGAATCGTACCATTTATTGTTGACATGGTACTCCCATAATGCAAAAAAGGCTGATTAAAATGCTGAACAGT